ATGGCTGCTAAGCTACACAGTTCATTTCTCAGTGTCTCCTGGAATTAGACTATGTGACCAAGTTCTCACCACTAGAACACGAGCACTAGGGATGTACATGACCACTTCTGGGTCAAAGCATGAAACGGGGGGTCTGCTTCACTATGCTTTCTCCTCCCTTCCTGGTGGCTGCAACTGAGACATGGCAGGAACCCACCTCACCTACAGAGACTACAATAATGCCCTGGGCCCAATGTTCTCAATCTTCTTGGACTCAGGATCACTTTGAACTCTTAAGAATTACTCTGCACCCAAAAAACTTTCTTCAACACAGGTATAACCTACTGATAGATATGTCTATCAATATTTGCCACATTAGAAGGTAAAGCGAATTAAATTTTTAAAAATTTGTTAGCTCATTTAAATATAACGATAAACCATTTCATGTTAATTTAACATTGAGAAAAAAATACCACCTATTCCAAAAAAAATTTTTCATTTGATCCTAACAGTAATTCTTAGGAAATAGCCAAAGCATTTCCTATCAAATCAACTTTACTCTAGAATTAAAAAATAGATTTACAGGCTGGGAGTCGTGGTTCGTAAGTCACAGCACGTTGGGAGGCCGATGCAAGAGGATCACCTGAGCCCAGATATGTGTGACCAGCCTGAACAACACAGCGAGAGCTCATCTCCAAAAAATTAGCCAGTCGCGGTGGTGTATGCCTGTAATAACAGCTACTTCAGAGGCTGAGCCCAGGAGATTAAGGCTGCAGTAAGCCACGATTGTGCCACTGCACTCCCACCTGAGCAACAGAGTAAAACTCGGACTCAAAAAAAAAAGAAAACTGTTTCTATAATGGCCAAGGTTATATATCTACTAAGTATAAAGCTGAGCCAACAGGATCAGGGTAAAACATGGAAGCCACCTTACATTTCTCCAACCTTTGTGTTTTACAAACACTGATTTTCTTTTATTTTTTATTAGGGTGGATGGCGGGGAGGAAAGGTGGCTATATCCTGACCTAAAAAGTTTAAGAAAAAAAAATCATTGGCTACTAATATATTAAAATATTTTCTTGCAGAATTTTTAATGTATTAACAACAAATAGTTGATCTCCAAATGTATATACAATCTTGACTCTTTAAGGAACAATAAAGAGTGCTCTCCTTAATTACACTGGCAAAGACTTTTCTAAAGTAGATGCAAACTTTTACAGTCCTACCAGAAATACATTAGAGTGACAGTTGCTTTACATCCTTAACTGCATTTAATATTACCAGTCTGTAATTTTAGCCTTCTAGTGAATATAAAGTGGTAACTCACTGTAGTTTTAATTTGTATTTCTCTGTTAATTAAAAATATTAAGGACCTTTTCAGGTATTTGCTGTCTGTTACTATAGCTTCTTTCATGAAGTATCTGCTCAAATTTTTTGGCCATTTAAAAAAATCTGAGTTGTCTTATTATTGAACTGTAAAAAAACTTAGCATTGCAATTATTTTCTCACATTCTGTCTTGCCTTTCCATGTTCTTATGCTATCTTACACAAAGTAAACGTTTTTAATTTTGATGAAGTCTTGTTTTTTTCTTTAATGGTTCAAATTTTTTGTGCATTGCCTACCCCAGGCTCACAAAAATTTGTTCCTATGTTTTCTTCTAGAAGTTTTATAGTTTGGGCTTTTGCATTTAGGTCTATAATCCACTTAAAGCTAATATATGTGTAAATAGTGAGTCACGAGCCAATGTTGAATACCATTTGTTGAAAAGAATTAAATTTCCCCATTGAACTGTATGATACCTGGTTAGGCGCAGTGGCTCACGCCTGTAATCTCAGCACTTTGGGAGGCAGCGGCGAGAGGACTGCCTGAGCCCAGGGGTTCAAAATCAGCCTAGGCAACATTAAATCACAAAAACATTAGCCAGGTGAGGCAGAATTGCTGAAGCCCAGCAGGTCAACGCTGGGGTGGCCATGAGTGTGCCACTGCACTCCAGTCTGGGCGATGGAGTAAGACTCCAACTCCAAAAAAAAAAAAGGAATTGTGTGATACCTTTGTCAAAAATCTAATGTGCATATGTATGTATGGGGTCTGACAATTAAGTGTGCAAACTTGCCACTGTGCGCTTACATTGGCAGCACTCAGTAAAGTTTCATAGCCTTGGTATATCTGTCTCACAACTGTGTTCGTGTTGTGTGGCAGTCTCTTGCTGGGTGGTGTTCATTATTATCGTTCCATGTTTTTGTGTGCCATTCCAACAATGTGAGAGCTTAAATTAGAACAATGAACAAACATTAGGTTTCTTGTTAAACTTGGTGAAAGCAAAAGTGAAATCAGGAACACATTAGTCCAAGTCTATAGAGATAATGCCATGAATAAATGGTAGTGTAAAAATGGACTAAACATTTTTCTGAGGGGAGAAAAAGCGTCACTGATGAAAACATGGCAAAAATTCATTGAATTGTGTGTCAAAATCATTGGCTGACTGTGAGAAGCACAGCAGACCAAATAAACAACAATAAAGATACAGCTGGAAAAGCTTGGCATGAGAAAGGTGTGCAAAAACGGTCCTGAAGGAAGAGCTCTTATATGATGACAATGTCCAGCTCACACAGCACTGTCTATGAGGGAGTGTTTAGCCAGTAAACAAACAACTGTATTGGAACAGTTTTCCTACTCACCTGATCTAGCCCCCAAGGACTTTTTTCTGTGCCCAAAGATAAAGGAAATATTGAAAGAAAGACATTTTAAGCCGGGCTCGGTGACTCAGCCTGTAATTCCGCGCCTTGGGAGGCTGAGGTGTGTAGATTACCTGAGCTCACGGGTTTGAGACCCGCTTGGGCAACTTGGTAAGACCTCATCTCTACAATAAATCAAGAAAAAAAATTAGCCGGGTGTGGTAGCGCGCACCTGTAGTTCCAGCTATTTGGACGGCCGAGGCGGAAGGATCGCCGGAGCCCAGTAGGTCGAGGCTGCAGTGGCCAGGAGCGGCCACGGCACTCCAGTCTGGGCGACAGAGTGAGACTCCAATTCAAAAAAAAAAGAAAGGAAAACATTTTGATGACATTAAGGGCATCAAGGGTATAATGATAGCTCTGATGTTATTCCAGAAAGAGTTCCAAAACTGCTTTGACAGGTAGACTAGGTGCTGGCATCAGTGCCTAGCTTCCCAAGGGGGGTACTTTGAAGGTGACCATAGTGATAGTCAGCAATGAGGTGTGTAGTACGTCTTCTAGGGTGAGTTCAACTTAACTGAAAGACCTCATAATATAAGTGTATTTCTATTCCACTGATCCTATTATCTATCCCTTCACCGGCACTTCAATGTCTTATTTTTGTGGCTGAGAATAAGTCTTGAAATCAAGAAATGAACATTTCTAACTTTTTTTAAAATTGCTTTAGCCATACCACATATATTTTGGTATTTCCATATTGACTTTTTAATCAGCTAGTCAAATTTCTTTTTCTATTTTTTTTCTTTTTTTGAGTCGTCCAGGCTGGAGTGCAGTAACACACTCACAATCACTGCAGCCTCGACCTTCTAATTTCAGGCAATCCAAGCTGGAGTGCAGTGACACGCTCACAATCACTGCAGCCTCAGGCAATCCTTCCATCTCAGCCTTCCAAGTAGCTGGAAGTACAGGCATGTGCCACCACACCTGGCTAATTTTTTGATTTTAGTGTACAGATGAGGTCTCATCATATTGCCCAGGCTGGTCTCAAACCCGTGGGCTCAGGCAATCCTCTCGCCTCTGCCTCCCAAAGTGCTGGGATTAAAGGTGTGAGCCACCGCGCCCGGCTAAGCTAGTCAATTTTAACCCAAAAAATTCTGCTGGGATTCAACTACTTGGAATTGAATTTAATCTACCAATACCCTGAGAGAGAACTGGCATCTTAATACTACTTTATAAACATACCTATACACATTGTATATTTTTCTATATATTTAAAATATTTAATTTCTTATATCAAGCTGTCAGTGTAAAGGTCTTGCACTGTCTCTGTACATCTATTTCTAAGTATTTTATGTTCTCGATGCTGTTACGTAATTTTTCAAACTTTGCTGCTAGTATATAAAAAGCCCACTGATTTTTTAAAAATACAATAGTGTCTTACAATCTTGCTAGATTAAGTTATTAGCTCTAATAATTGTTTTGTAAATGTGTGAGGATGTTCTATCTAAACATGTATCTGCAAATAGAAAATTTTACTTTCATTTTTATCTTTATGCCTGTTGTTTATTTTTATTCTTCTCTCCTTCCGACAATGCTACTTTGTTACTCACTGAGTCTATAAGGTCATTCCAAAGTGATATCCATTCTAGAAAATTCCAATAACTATAACCAATGATTTTCTTTATAATGATCACTGGTAGGAAAAAAAAAAGAAAGACTGAAAAAACATCCCACTGTAGTTAGATGAAGAAAAGAACATTTACCTTAAGAAAAAAAGGAATAAACCTTAGTCAAAAAGAGTCAAATAATTATAGAAGTAAATGATAACAGGTATACTCAAACAGAAAAATCTAAGGCTATTTAATATCATTATCGCTTATATCAAAGCTAGAATTATGAGAAAATTAATAATGCATAAAATCCCCCCAAGATCTCATTATTTTCTTCTGTTTAACAGTAAGCTACCATTAGCTTAACAGTAAGTTAAATATATACCAGATTCTTCTAATCTTTACCATACACCCTTGGGTAAGTACATTCCCACTGTATACATGAGGAATTTAAGAATAAGAAAGACTGAACTAAATTAACAAAGATCACCTAGACTAAGTGGCAGAGCTAGGATAAGAACTAAGATAGTCTGACCCCAGAACCCATGAATTTTAACCTTAGCTGTATTTTCTTTGCCCACATAATACTATGTTCTAGGCACATTAATCTAAAAATAAATAACAGTGATAGCAGTGCCTTTTTCTTCCAACAACTCTACCACAATACTTTACCTTGTTCCAAAAAAGAACTTACTGATATCTTTTTAAGTAGCATCAAAAGTAATAAAGTACACTTACTGGTTTCGGCATTTTTCTTCTCTTTTTATTACCTTCTTTAAAAATTCTTCACGTTTATGAATTCTGTTGTCACTTTCTGTTTAAAAAAAAGATACTCTATTATCTTTTTAGATAGGCTTTTTATTTTACCTATAATTAGTATAGAAAAAGATACAACATTTTAAAATGTGGATTTAAAATATGTCTCTTATTTTATTCTAATTTTCAGTATCTTCTACTAGCAGTTCACATTCCCTAAAAAGATTGAAATCTCAGATTTAAAATACCATACATCTCAAACTACATAGATAAGCCTATCAACATACTAAAAGTTTTATCTTAATTGCAAATAATGAACAGCAAGGAAACATGATTGCTAAGGACCCATAAAAGCTGCTTCTCTGAGTGAAGTTCATCTCTGTGCCCAGGATGTCAGTGAAAGGGACAGAAAAAGTGAAGACAGGTGGATTTAGATCCTAAAAGAGTTGCTCTCATGAAGAGTTTTCGATGTTTTTTCTGTAGTGCCAAAAACAAAAGGAAATTCTGGTTAATGTAATCTACAAGAAGATAAACAACAAAATATTTTTTTATTCTTGAAAGTTTGAAAATAGGAGTAGAGAAAAACATGAGTAGCTTATTCACCTAACATGTACAAAATACCCATAACTCTGCACACTAACCTGCATGTGACTCGCCACCAGGCTAGTGGCCTTTGCGGAAATTTAAAATTGCCCTTAAGAACACTGTTAAGTTGTATCTTCCCCCCTAAGCCAACAAATCTATCAAAGAGAATCATCATGCTGTCTTAAAATCATCATGTTTTTGTTATGAAACATTTATGAAAATTGAGTTTCTTCTTTATACATCTACCTACAGATCTCAAATTCTTTTTTTTTGTTTGTTTGGTTTTTTTTTGAGTTGGAGTCTCACTCTGTCGCCCAGACTGGAGTGCAGTGGCCACTCCCAGCCACCGCAGCCTCGCCCTGCTGGGTTCCGGAGATCCTTCTGCCTCAGCCTTCCAAGTAGCTGGAACTACAGGCACGCGCTACCATGCCTGGCTAATTTTGATGTATTGTATAGATGAGGTCTCAACAAGTTGCCCAGGTGGGCCTCGAACCCGCGAGCTCAGGCAATTCACACACCTTGGCCTCCCAAAGCGTGGGATTACAGGCTGAGCCACCAAGCCCGGCCTTCAAATTCTTAATCATTATGAGTTGACCAGAAAAAATTATCATTCCAATTTAAAAACCTACAGTATCGTATCAGATAACTATTATCTAACTGAGAAAAGTATATTTACATAATATCTCTGAGAAAATTTATTCATTTGCTAGGAACAACTAAATTAATATGCAGTTAATTTCAGCTTGTTGGTGTGTTTATTTATAGACAGGGGCTTGCTCTTTTGCCCAGGCTGGAGTGCAGTGGTATGATCATGGCTCTGTAGGCTCAAACTCCTAGGCTAAAGCCATCCTCCCACCTCAGCCTCCCAAGTAGCTAAGACTACAGGTACACCACACAATGCATTTTTTTTTAAGAGACGGGTTCTTGCTTTGTTGCTCAGGCTGCTCTCAAACTCTTGGCCTCAAGCAATCCTCCCACCTTGGTATTCCAAAGTGCTGGGATTAAGAGCCTGAGTCACTGCAACCAGCCTTAATTTTGTGCTTTAAAACTATATTACCAACTGCTTCTTTAAGATGCTATAGCTGGCCAGGCACGGTGGCTCACGCCTATAATCCCAGCACTTTGGGGAGGCTGAGGTGAGAAGATTGCCTGATTCCATGGGTTGGAGACAAGCCTAGATAACTTGGCGAGACCTCACCTCTACAACAAACCAAAACCAAAAAAAAAAAATTAGCCAGGCATGGTGGTGCTTGCCTATAATTCAAGTTACTTGGAAGGCTGAAGCAGAAGGATCACCTGAGCCCAGCAGGTCGAGGCTGCAAAGGCCATAAGCGTGTCACTGCACTCCAGCCTGGGCAACAGAGTGAGACCCAACTCAAATAATAATAATAATAATAAAGATGCTGCCGGGCTCGGTGGCTCAGCCTGTAATCCCGTTCCTTGGGAGGCTGAGGTGAGTGGATTGCCTGAGCCTGCGGGTTCGAGACCTGCCTGGGCAGCGAGATCTCATCTCTATAATCAATCAAAAAATCAGCCGGGCATGGTAGCGCATGCCTGTAATTCCAGCTACTTGGAAGGCTGAGGTGGAAGGATTGCCGGAGCCCGGCAGGTCGAGGCTGTGGTGGCTGGGAACGAACACTGCACTCCAGTTCAGGCAACCGAGTGAGACTCCAACTCAAAAAATAAATAAATAATAATAATAATAAAGATGCTATAACTAATAAAACTGAAAATTCTCTAAACTAAAATTAAAATGAAGTAACAAAAGCAAGGTCATTTCACTACATCTTACTCAGTCATGATTCACTGACTACCAATAAATCCTTAAGAGAGAACAGCATCCTCGTGAGATATTTTATCTGAGTCACAGGGCCACAAAATTTGGCTGGAAGTATAAACCCCTCATTTCTTAACTCTTATCATTTCCTAGCCTACTACTCCCTATCTACTCTCACCTACTTTCACAAATGCAAATGTACTTCAGTCCAATTTTTTAAATTCTATACCCTCTTCATCTTAACTACTATACTGCCTTAGAGATCTTATCATCACAGGTCTTGATTAAAATAGCTCCAAATTGACCTACTTTTCACATCATTTATACACTAATAGTTTGATGAACATCTAAAGGATTATCTAAAACATAACTTGGCCAAAACCTTTAAACCCCTACCTTACAGCCAAATCTGCTTTGCTTCAAGGCTAACTGATTTACATCTTTTTAGAAAGCTATCCATAGTATTCTCTCATGACTTATACCTCTACTACATCTGAAATTATAACCTTCTTTTCATTCCTAATGTGTTAATTTTTGCCTTCCCTTTTTCTTGATTAATTTTGCTAGAAGTTTGGCTAGCTTATTGGTCTAAAAATCAGTTTTCAATTTTACTGACTCTGTTTTTCTTTTGTTAATTTTTGTCCTTTTCCTCATTATTTTTCTTCTTGCCAGTTGCTTTGGCTTTATTCTGTGGTTCACTTACAATCCCTAAGTTTGAAAGTTTACCCAAGTAATTCCCTATCTTTTCTTCTTTACTAATTCATGGATTAAGGTCATAAACTAAATATTCCCAGTTATAAGGTAATTCCAAATATGAAGTGATCTCTCTAATTTGCTAGCAAGAATATTTAAGAATCATTTTTATGATTTAAATATATAATCAAATGTATATTTATAATTTATTAGTATACTTAAAAAGAAAACACATGAACTATATAACACATTGATTCAGAGCCAGGTATGGTGGCTTACGCCTGTAATCCCAGCACTTTGGGAGGCCGAGGTGAGAGGATTGCCTGAGTCCAAGGGTTTGAGACCAGCCTGGGCAACTTGGTGAGACTTGTTCTCTACAATAAATCAAAAAATTAACTGGGTATGGTAGCGCACACCTGTGGTTCCAGCTACCTGGAAGGCAGAGGTGCAAGGATCACCTGAGACCAGGAAGTCGAGGCTGCAGTGGCTGTAAGTCTGACACTGCACTCCAGCCTGGGTAACAGAGTGAAACTCCAACTCAAA